CTATCTTATATTTTCTATTATATTTTAAGTCACTCTCCTATAATATTTGTTTATAACTCCTCTGACATTCAGAACACTTTCTAGGGCCTTTTATTTATTTACTTATGTAATTTTATTTATTAAAGATTTTATTTATTTATTTGGTGGAGAGAGAGAGAGAGAGTGAGAATGAAGGGAGGTGGGGGTAGTAATGAGGAGAAACAGAAGGGGAGGGAGAAGCAGGCTCCCCACTGAGCAGGGAGCCCAATGAGGGGCTCAATCCCAGGACCCTGGGATCATGACCTGAGCCGAAGGCAAACACTTAACTGACTGAGCCACTATTTATATTCTTTTTATCACTACATTTTTAAATAAATAAATAAATATTATATATATTTAAATAAGTAAATATATATAAGTAATAAGTAAATATATATATTTAAATAAGTAAATAAATATATTATATATATATTTAAATATATATATATATTTCACAGAACATTTGGGCCTATGCTTTTAAAGTCTTCTGATTTAAAATAATTGAATTTCTGAACATTTGTAAATGATAAATTTGTAATTAAAAATATAATTTTATTCAGTATGAAAAGAGAAATGAGGAATATACTTAAGAATAATTATTAAGAAAGGCAATAGAATTCTGAAAATCTATTAGATCATTTACTTGTCTTCCTTTTATCCTTTAAATAAGATAAAATGCTTGTTGAAAATTAAGAACTTGCCAAGAATAAATTTGATTTCAGGATATTTAGGGCTTTGCCTGTAACTGTTGATGAGAATCAAGGTACTGATTCATCTTCTTAGTCTTGGTCTTCTGGTTTGTTTCCTTTTTATGCTAATCTGCTTAGAATCAGGGCATGGTTGCAGAATGGCAAGAGAGGAAGGAGGTGATGAGACCAGTTGGCACAAACAACACCAACACCCTTTTACTCTGCTCCTTAAATAACATAATTACATAGCAACAGGACCTAGTAATATAGAGCAAATTAATTGTTTAAAGCACAAAGTGAAATTGTAACTATTGAGAAATTATATGAAAAAGAAGATGTAATATGCCATAATCATTATGTATTGTGGATAGTTACATGGCAATACTTCTGAATGCTTGTTTGATATAAAAATGAGGATTTCTAGAGGATAAAAGAGAAGGGAAAAGAGCCCACCTAAAGTAGAAGGGTAAAGTGACTAGGGAGGGAAGGATGTAGACAAATGGAGACAAATGCCCCCCTTCCTTTGGTGCTCCAGTTTTGCTCCATGGATCTCTCCTAGTATATCTCTCTCCTCTTATCTGTCTTGCCAGGTCTTCATTAGTTTCTCCTCATTATTTTTACCCCTTATTTCTGGGTTCCCACAGTCTTTTCTCCATCCTTTCCTTTTCCTCTCTCTACGTAGTTTCTCTTTTGGAGATTGGTATGCCCCCCCTTATTGAAATGAAAATCCAAGAATTACCAAGCTTTAGCATGGTAAGAGTTTCTGTATAGAGAGGAGGGATGGTTGACAAAATAGCCCCAAGATCTCCTATAACTTTCTTTCTTCTTGAGACTTCTCTCACTTTAATTACTACTCTTCCTCCCACTAGACCCCAGATGTACACTACCCCAACATTAGAGTTCTGATCCAACTGTGGGTAAAATACTTTCTCTTGTTTTTCTGTAGCAGAGATTGGAAACTTTTCTAAAAAAGAATTAAGCAAGCAAACAAAACATACTAAAAGAACACTGAAACCTATGAGAGAGCAAAAACTTTAGGTCTACAAAATATTACTTAGGCTTCTAATATTCCCAGAGGAACTTCATAGGATATCTAGAGGTTATTGATCATCCAGTACTAAAGGTAGACGTATAGGAAGGGAGACCTTCCCAGTCCACATAGAGAGGGCTCCCTCTCTCCATTCTGGTTTCTACTTAGGAGATGCACCTCTTCTCTAGGAGACTATTGACTAGAATGACCACAGTCTTCAAGAGAGGCCACTGCTCACTAGATCATTTGTTGTCTAATGGCCACTATCAATATCAAATTACTGGCCTTGTAACAATCACAATATCCATTCAACAAAAATTCATATTCAGCATTGTGAGAGACTTCAGTTCACATATCTCTATATAAGATGACTTGAGCTGTATTTCTAGCTCAAGCTTTTTTATTTGTTCTTTCCTTTATCTGTTCAGTCACTATATTTTGAGCACTTTCTATGTGTCAGGCATTGTGCAAGGGACAAACAAGACAGACATGGCACATATCTTCATGCAAGTTGTATTAACAAAGGAAAGCAGGTATTACAAAATTGTAAGTTGAGGGGCAGCTAGCTGGCTCAGTTAGAAGAGCATATGACTTGACCTTGGGGTTGTGAGTTCAAGCCCCATATTGGATGTAGAGATTACTTAAAAATAAAATTTTTAAAAAAACTTGTAAGTTGATTAGTGTCATAAAGGAAGATTTTAAGGTATTATGATGAGAGTCTATAAGAGGATCTAACTTAATCAGGTTGGTCAGGAAGGTTTCTGGAGGAAGTGACATTTAAGTGAAACTTGAAGGATAAAAATCAGCTAGATATGTTCAGGTGTGTGTGCCAGAGTGAAAGGAGGAACAGGGAGGAAATAGTGGCAGAAGGCACAGCATATTCAAGGAATGTTAGCAGCTTAGATCGCAGGGAAAGACTGACTTCAGATGAACCTGCCAAGGTGCACAGGAACCCAATCATGCAAGGCCATGTCATGGATTTTTCACCTCTGTTCTTAGAGCAACAAGAAGGCATGAAGAGTCAGGGTTCCATTACAACCTGTGATTATATTCGAATTTAGGTGAGATAAATAGTAATTATTATAACATAAAAATAGCTAAAACTACACAGTATGGGCCAGGCACTGTTGTAAGGGCTTTGCATATATTAGCTAATATGCATCTCACACAAACCCTATCAATTATTTTGATAATTTGTAAGTGAAAAAAGTGAGACATACTGATATCTCATATTTTATATCTTGTCCAAGATCATACAGCTCACAGGTGGCAGAGCTTCTGGGGAGACCCATTAGGAAGCTGTTGCAGAATTATCAGCAAAAGATGCTCAGGGCTTGGATGGGAGTAAGTAACAGTGAGTCATTAGGGTAATAGCATTAAGATATGTATGAGCTATAAAATTTTAGGATTTACATCAAAAGTATTACATTTCTAATTGGTATGCTTAAAAATTATCTCATGATGGAAAGAACACTTAACATTAGATCTTTAAAAATTTTTAAGTGTACAGTACAGTATTGTTAACTATACCTGGTACACTTTTCAACTTGACTATCTTGCTGTTACCTCAATTTTCTACCAAAACTCTTTTCTACCAGTTTTTCCTATTCCTGTTAAAGGTATTGTTTGTAATTATGCAGATTGAAAGCATCAGAGTAGTTTTTTTTTCTATTTCTCTTTCCCTTTTTGCTATTAAGTGAATAGTCACAGAAACCATGCCCATTATCTTTTGCAAAGTCTTCACAATTCATCCCATTCTTCCCATCCCCAATGACCTCCCTGGACAAATTTATGTATTTATTTGTTTATTTGTTTGTTTGTTTTTAAAGATTTTATTTATTTATTCATGAGAGACAAAGAGAGAGAGGCAGAGACACAGGCAGAGGGAGAAGCAGGCCCCATGCAGGGAGCCTGACGTGGGACTCGATCCCTGGTCTCCAGGATCACACCCCCGGGCTAAAGACTGCATTAAACCACTGAGCCACCTGGGCTGCCCCCTGTAGAAATTTAAATTTATTTATTTATTTATTTATTTATTTATTTATTTATTTATTTATTTATGATAGTCACAGAGAGAGAGAGAGGCAGAGACACAGGCAGAGTGAGAAGCAGGCTCCATGCACCGGAAGCCCGATGTGGGATTCGATCCCGGGTCTCCAGGATCGCGCCCTGGGCCAAAGGCAGGCGCCAAACCGCTCCGCCACCCAGGGATCCCCCCCTGTAGAAATTTAAATACAAGTCTGCTTGCATGGAAGGCTATGAGCAGGCTGTCTTGACTGAGTCACACAGTTTTTTTTTTTTTTATAAATTAATTTTTATTGGTGTTCAATTGAGTCACACAGTTTTACAGTAGTTCTGTATCTAACCCTCAGCCAAATCCTGTGAGCTAGAGCATGACCATGGTAGGAATTTGGCTTCCAAGAAATCACATTTTTCAGGTCCTCCTAGTTGTGATTATTCCTCTCTGTCTCTCTCTCATATGCGGTCTCTTTCCTTTGCTCCATTAAGTTCTCTCCTTCAATCTTCTATCACTTCTTAAATTGTTCTCATCTCTTAGTTAAAGTGGATCTAACAGCAATACACAGCCCATTCTCTGCATTCTCCCAAAATTCAGTTATTGCATTGATTTAGCCAAGGTGAGGAGCAAGGATTCCAGAGCCCTACTGCCTGAGTTTGAATGCCAGCACTGCCACTTAGCTACTGTGGGCCCCGGGCAGGGGGAACACCACATTCCTTATCAGGATGACAGTAGCAGTACACGTCTCATAGGGTTGCTATGAACATAAAATAAATGCCTGGAATACAGAAAAAGCTACTTAAATAGTCATTATTATTACACAACCTAAGTGTTACTCAATGATTATGTTACTGCAGCATAACATAGCTGCAGAAAGGCACTCATAAGTGTTCAGCTTACTGAAATGTAACAGGCTGACCAATCCTTTGTAACCAGCACATAAATCGTGAAACAGAAACTAGTACTGAAAAGTACAGTAACTGATCCTCTTCATTCCCACTTCTGGTTACCACCCCTCCCTAAGGGTAACCAATATCCTGGCTTCTAATTAGTTTCATGAATAACTGCTAACCCTCCATATTGCAGCAGTTGATAGGTATTTATTATAATAGCATTTCATTTTTTATTTAATATCTGAGACAAACCTACTTGTTGATGAATCTTATGTATAAAAATAAATATATATACATATATGATACATAATATAGTAGTAAAATATAATATTTTAATATATTTTGTTTCCTAGGTTGAAAAAGCTCCTTGAACAAGAAAAGGCTTACCAAGCCCGAAAAGAAAAGGAAAATGCTAAGCGGCTCAATAAACTAAGAGATGAGCTTGTGAAACTCAAGTCCTTTGCACTCATGCTGGTGGATGAAAGGCAAATGCATATTGAGCAACTTGGCCTGCAAAGCCAGAAAGTCCAGGATCTTACTCAGAAACTGAGAGAAGAAGAAGAAAAGCTCAAAGCCATCACTTCCAAATCCAAAGAAGACAGACAGAAACTGCTCAAGTTAGAAGTGGATTTTGAACACAAGGCTTCAAGGTTTTCCCAGGAGCATGAAGAGATGAATGCCAAGTTGGCCAACCAAGAGTCTCACAACAGGCAACTCAGGCTCAAGCTGGTTGGCTTAACTCAGAGAATCGAGGAGCTGGAGGAGACCAACAAAAACCTCCAAAAGGCAGAGGAAGAACTGCAGGAGTTAAGAGATAAAATTGCCAAAGGCGAATGTGGCAACTCCAGCCTTATGGCAGAAGTAGAAAATCTCCGGAAGCGTGTGCTTGAAATGGAGGGTAAAGATGAGGAGATCACCAAAACTGAATCCCAGTGCAGAGAATTGCGGAAGAAGCTCCAAGAGGAGGAACACCACAGCCGAGAGCTCAAACTTGAAGTCGAGAAGTTACAGAAGAGAATGTCCGAACTGGAGAAATTGGAAGAAGCATTCAGCAAGAGTAAATCTGAGTGTACCCAGCTACATTTAAATCTGGAGAAGGAAAAGAACTTAACCAAAGACCTGTTGAATGAACTAGAGGTGGTCAAGAGTAGGGTTAAAGAACTGGAATGTTCTGAAAGTCGATTGGAAAAGGCCGAATTAAGTCTAAAAGATGACCTCACAAAGTTGAAGTCATTTACTGTGATGCTGGTTGATGAAAGGAAAAACATGATGGAAAAAATAAAGCAAGAGGAGAGAAAAGTGGATGGACTCAACAAAAATTTTAAGGTAGAACAAGGAAAGGTTATGGATGTCACCGAAAAACTAATCGAAGAAAGCAAGAAGCTTTTAAAACTGAAATCAGAAATGGAGGAAAAGGTATACAACTTGACAAAAGAAAGAGATGAGTTAATAGGTAAACTGAAAAGTGAAGAAGAAAAATCCTCTGAGTTAAGCTGCAGTGTTGACCTATTAAAGAAGAGACTTGACGGGATGGAGGAAGTAGAAAGAGAAATAACCAGAGGGAGGTCTCGGAAAGGGTCTGAGCTCACCTGCCCAGAAGACAACAAGATTAAGGAACTAACACTTGAAATCGAGAGACTGAAGAAACGCCTCCAACAATTGGAGGTGGTCGAGGGGGATTTGATGAAGACGGAGGATGAGTATGATCAGCTGGAGCAGAAATTTAGAACCGAGCAGGACAAGGCGAATTTTCTCTCTCAACAACTGGAGGAGATAAAGCACCAGATTGCCAAGAACAAGGCAATCGAGAAAGGCGAGGCTGTGAGTCAGGAAGCGGAGCTGAGACACCGGTTTCGGTTAGAAGAAGCTAAAAGTCGAGACCTGAAAGCCGAAGTCCAAGCTCTGAAAGAGAAGATCCATGAATTGATGAACAAAGAAGATCAGCTTTCTCAACTCCAAGTGGATTATTCTGTCCTTCAACAGAGATTTCTGGAAGAAGAAAATAAGAACAAAAACATGGGGCAGGAGGTCCTCAATCTGACCAAAGAGTTGGAGCTTTCTAAGCGGTATAGCCGAGCTCTTAGACCCAGTGTGAATGGAAGAAGAATGGTGGATATTCCAGTGACGTCGACTGGAGTGCAGACGGATGCTGTCAGCAGTGAGGCAGCAGAGGAAGAAACACCAGCAGTATTTATACGGAAATCCTTTCAAGAAGAAAATCACATCATGAGTAATCTTCGACAGGTGGGATTGAAAAAACCTATGGAACGATCCTCTGTTCTAGACAGGTATCCTCCAGCAGCAAATGAGCTCACTATGAGAAAGTCTTGGATTCCATGGATGAGAAAAAGGGAAAATGGGCCCCCAATCACTCAAGAGAAAGGGCCTCGGACAAATTCCAGTCCGGGGCACCCAGGAGAGCTGGTCCTTTCACCAAAACAAGGCCAGCCTCTGCATATTCGAGTGACACCAGACCATGAGAATAGTACAGCAACTTTGGAAATAACAAGCCCAACATCTGAAGAATTTTTTTCTAGTACCACTGTCATTCCTACCTTAGGGAATCAGAAACCAAGGATAACCATTATTCCATCACCAAATGTTATGTCTCAAAAATCAAAAAGTGGAGATGCTACTCTTGGCACAGAACGAGCCATGTCTCCAGTCACGATTACCACATTTTCTAGAGAGAAGACCCCAGAAAGTGGAAGAGGTATGTTTGCCGACAGGCCCACATCCCCCATTCAGATAATGACAGTGTCTACATCTGCAGCACCCGCTGAGATCGGAGTCTCTCCAGAATCCCAGGAAATGCCCATGGGAAGGACTGTCCTCAAAGTCACCCCAGAAAAACAGACTGTTCCAACTCCTCTACGGAAATATAATGCCAATGCCAATATCATAACCACGGAAGACAATAAAATTCACATTCATTTAGGTTCTCAGTTTAAACGATCCCCTGGGACTTCAGCTGAAGGAGCAAGTCCAGTTATTACTGTCCGACCTGTCAATGTGACAGCTGAAAAAGAGGTTTCCACTGGCACTGTCCTTCGCTCTCCTAGGAACCATCTCTCGTCAAGACCTGGCGCAAGCAAAGTGACCAGCACTATCACCATAACACCGGTCACAACTTCATCTACTCGAGGAACCCAGTCAGTGGTGAGTAGAAGACGCTATGTAGGCTGAGGGAGGGCCAAGTGAGTTGTGGGAATAACCCAGTGCCTGAAATGAAACAAAAGCACATGCCTCTTATGCCAGCTGAGTCCACCGGTGGATGTTTCCTAGAGGATAAGCTGTACCAAGAAATGAAAATAAAAGTGACTTAATATTTTAATAAATTGAACTAATTTGGGGGGAAATTTTCTTTTCTTCATGTAAGTTATGGAGGCCCCCCAAATTCTGGCAAAGACAGTCTCTTCATAGTGTCAGTGTATGGTAATAATTAGGTTTAAAGTTCAATTTTTTTATTTAAAATGTTTTTAAAAATGGAAACCAAGAGAAATGGTCAATATACAGGAATAATTATAACTGCCTTCTGGCTTATGTAACTACGCCCTAAAATACTCAATATGTGGTTGTGTATGGCCACTGTCATATTTTATTCCAAAATATTTTATCCCAAAAATAAGATTAAAAGATTTTAATATTAAAAACTTCTTTAAAAGTAAAAAAAAAAGAGTTTATATGTCTAAACACTATATCTTATTAATAATACCTTGTAGAGAGCAAGTGCTTGATAAATATTTATTTAATAACCAGCTAGAAGGCTAAATGAATGATTTTCAAAAATGTGTCTGAGGTATGAAAGCCAGAGCTTATGAATAAATTCTATTTTATTTTAAAAAATACCTCCAGTGATTGTCTTCATTTACTTGGGACAAATTGGTAAATTAAATTATAGAAGAATATGTACTGTTTAGATTTTAATTTAAACCAGTAGATTAGAAATTATGATTCTTAGACTCTGAACAAATTCTATAGCATGTATCAGACACTCTTAAATACAGGAAGCTTATTATTTCAGTATAGAAACTGTGGCTCATTTTCCCATATCCTCAATATAATTATTTAAATTTTCTGTGCACCGACATAGACACAAGACAGACTTAAAAGGTGTGAATACTAATTGCTTTACTAGTAAAGTTTTTCATTATTGGCTCAAAGGAGCTGAATAGCATTCAGAATTGCTCAAGCTTCTCAAATGGTTCAATATAATATTGCTTTTTAAGCAATACACAGCATAGTGTGATGTGCATGGTTACTTCTCTCTAATGACTTTTATAAAAAGATGGTGGAGGTGTAAGTTGTTGTAATTTAGAACAGATTTTTTTGCTGAAACATGTTATTCCCATTTTAAGGGGCAGATCAAAATAGCTTTACTTTCTTGAGCAACATTTTTGACTACTGATTAAGCCCCATACACAAAGAAGATTTCAAATAAGATTTACAAGGCCTCAAGGATGACCCACTTACTTCAGATATATTGGATTCCATAAAGTTAAGAATAGCAAAAAGTTTAGGACACCTCTCTTAGAAACTGAATAGTGAGGCTAGTTCATTCAATATTTCTTGGGTGTTTAGCAACACTCTGCACCAAACCCAGTGCCAGCAGCAAAGAGGACTTTAAAAAGTTCCCTGCTTGGTGGGAGAGGCAGGATTGGAACCTCCTAAGTGGTTCTATGATAGAGGCATGTACCAAGGAACCCACCAGAGAAGGCTTCCTAGAGGAGGAAGTTTTCACAGATAAGGAAAGATTTTTTTTTTAAAAAAAAAAAGGAAAAGGGAAGGACTGTAAAGAAAACAGTCCGTGCAAAGGTATGGCGAGGTGAAGGAGCCTGCCATGTTTGTTTGGGGAACAGTGAACATTCCCGTTGTGCTGCAGCCACTGGGTGCCCAGACAAAATGCAAAAGCAGAAAATAGGCAAACTGGGGTCAGCTATTGAAGAGAGGTGCATGGCTTTTTATGAAATTGATATTTAATCTCCTGGAAGAGACAAAGGGAACCATTGAAAGAGCACTGATGATAGAAAATGACATTATTTATGTGTTAGAAACATGTTTAGAGGCACCTGGATGACTGAGTGGTTGAGCTTCTGCCTTTGGTTTAGGTCATGGTCCCAGGGTCCTAAGATGGAGTCCTGCATTGGGCTCCCCACAGGGAGTCTGCTTCTCCCTCTGCCTATGTCTCTGCCTCTCTCTGTGTGTCCCCATGAATAAATAAATAAGATCTTTAAAAAAAAGAAACATATAGAACAGTTTAAAGCATAAATTGGAGGGCACAGAGGCTGAGGGCAGGGATACTATTGCAATTCTCTAGGGTAGAGAGGGAGGCTGGAACTTTGGTAGTGAAAATGAGGACAGAGATATATTGAAGACAGAGTCAAAGATCTCATGACCACCTGAGTATAGAAGGTGACTTTTGGATAAAAGTCATCAGAGACAGGAGGCAAGTGGGTGAGCCTCCAGTAGGAAGGTGTCACGGTGAGAAAGTTTTAGGAGAACTTCAAGAAAAAAGGTATGGTCAGCAGTGACAGGGAAAAAGGAGAAGAGTTTGTTATCATTAAAAGGTAAAGGGAGAGCTGCTTCATCTAAAGAAAGTAGAGATAATTTGGGGGACGGTGGGAGCCAAGTTGCCTCAGTTTCTGCCAGGTGGCTGAATTTTCTCTGTGAAATCGGAGTTGAGGTGACTTCAGGAAGGGCAGAGGAAATAGGTCAGGGGCTTGAGAAGGCAGTTTGGTGTAGATGTTTCAGGACAGGAAAGAAGAGTGGCAGAGTGGGTGAGGTCCTGACTCCAAGTTTCTTACAGTTTTATCTGGGGAGGTGTCCTCTGTGCACATTCCTGTCCTGCTGATGTTCACCTTGACGACAAATCTGGGCAGAAACTCACCAACATCTCTCTTGTGTCTCTGTATTCTCTTACAGTCAGGACAAGACGGGTCATCTCAGCGACCTACACCCACCCGCATTCCTATGTCAAAAGGTATGAAAGCAGGAAAGCCAGTAGTGGCAGCCCCAGGAGCAGGAAATCTGACCAAATTCGAGCCTCGAGCTGAGACTCAGTCTATGAAAATAGAGCTGAAGAAATCTGCAGCCGGCAGCGCTACCTCTCTTGGAGGGGGGAAGGGCTGAGGGCAGTGGCTGAGGGGGTATGTTGTGCAGATGCTACTGCTGCCGTGAAAACGGACCTTCCTCTGTTTGTGCCAACTCTTCACATGTACTAACTTAAGTTTTAAATATCTTGTTTATAAAATAATCAACTAATAGCCATATGTCTTTCCTATTTTGTAAATTTGTTTTGATGCTAGAGAAAAGAACTGACTAGCAGAACTACTGCTTGCCGGGTGCTTTGTTTAGGATGGTGGGCCTGAGGCAGGGCCTGACTTCTAGTCCTATTTTTGCTTCTAGAAAGTGGACCCATCGGTAAACCGTCTGAGCTTCAGTCTTTTTGCCAGTAAGATATGGGGACTGGATCTCATCCTCTTCAAAGCCAGATCTCATATTTTCTAATTGTAAATCAAATTTTATAGGCCTTGTTCCACAATAATTGATTTTTCAGAAATTCTATTATGAAATAGGAAATAGTTTAACAGTTGTCATTTACTTCTATTAAATCCCGAATTTGCTTCATGTGCTGGGAAAAACATCTCCCAGCTATCACAGGGCCTGGACCTTTAAAGTTTTTGCAAAAACAAAAGCCTCTGGGATGATTTCAGGAAATAATTTGAATGTGAAATAAAATGGAAATGAAATATGGAATCCTAAAAACAGAGTTTTACTTATTTGTGTGTGTCTGTGTGTATTATAGAGGTTTGGCCATCTCCAAAACATTCCCAGAATTTTATAGACAATAATTTTAGAACCATTAATGTCAAACTCATGCTCTATTCAAGTGTGCAATTGATTTAAATTGTGGAGCAGTTTGAATAGAGCTGCCAAATGGCCCTTCTATCCATTACAGCCTCAATAGAAGTTGGGATGGATAGAAAATAGAAGAAAGTAATTGTGATACATTAATGCCAAGAAAAAAAATGACATCATGCATAGCTTAATTGAATTCAAATATTTTCCTCAGTTGAGTGTGGACTTAACTTGCAAATATAGAACCAGCTCATGACTGTGTGTGTGTGTGTGTGTGTGTGTGTGTGTGTGTGTGGTGGTGTGGTGAAGTGAATTATTATTCTTGTCAGTTTTACTTATATTTATATCGTTTTCATTAATTTCAAGCATGTTTTAATAAGCATGAAACTGAATGCAAAATGCCAGGTGTCTTTGTGAGAAGAGTAACCATGTTATTAAAGTGGACATTGAGCTTCCTGGTCAAATAACCACAAATGAGCTCAAGACTAATAATCCGCAGCTTAGCATCTGAGGTCTCATGTAGGCAGCACCTTTGTCTAAATTTTTAAACCAATTGAGTGAACTTTATAAAAATATGGTAACTACAAAGTTACAGAGTTTTTTTTTTTCCACTTCTGAATTGTGAGGGTTCCAAAATTATGTGGATAGCCCCTGTCTTTGATATTTGGGGAAAGATAGCTTTTTTAAAAGATATATTATTAGCTTTTATCATCAGATCATCAGGCTTCATGATAAAGAGGCTCTTCTCTGAGTTCTTTCCACACCGGATTTCCTACCTCTTGTAGAACTTGGACTTCAATTGTATTGGATGGTGGTAGAAGCCTTGCAGAATTCCTATTCTTTTTAATCGGGTCTCTATTGCCTATAGCTCATCAGTTCTCAGCATACATATTAAAAGATGTTGAATAACCATAGTAGATATGCCATAATAATGGGATTTCAAGGTAGAGGAGAGAGACTGAGAAAAAAAGATTTTATAAAATGTGATTTTGAGCAAGTTTAAACAAGAGATCTTTCTATTTCCAATACTGACTTGTATATTTTTACTTTTTTTTAAAAAAGATTTTATTTATTTATTCGAGAGAGAGAGAGAGAGCGAGAGAGAGAGAGAGAGGCAGAGACACAGGCAGAGGGAGAAGCAGGCTCCATGCAGGAAGTCCAATGTGAGACGTGATCCCGGGTCTCCAGGATCAGGCCTGGGGCTGAAGGTGGCGCTAAACCGCTGAGCCACCCAGGCTGCACTGACTTGTATATTTTTAAAAGGACATTTTCCCCTTTTGTAAAGTACACATCCATCCCTTTGAAAAACAAAGACATTGGCTGTTTTTCCAAATGCCTCCTTGGCATTTAGAGTATTTAGTGTTCCTGTGGTGTAACATACTCTATGTGAACACACAGTGTCAAAAGAACGAGATGCCGTGTTCCTTCTGACTTTGCTTGTCTTTCTCCAGTGACTTTTATCATAGTCTCTGGTCACTGCTTCTGTCTTTTGCTCTTACCCGCTCACACGATGCTTAGGTCATTTCTGCCTGGAAGTTCATACCATCTGCAGGGAGAATGCTCCGAGGGGCTGAACGGTGCATGTACAGGATGTTTATACATCTGGATGCTGGAAGAGAGCCACCTACAAAGTACAACTGCTAAGAAAACTTGGCAGAACAACACATATTCACTTTTCAGAAATGGTAAAGAGCAGCCATGGCAGTTTTTCTTTGTAATTTTAGAACCAACTCTATATGTATTGGATAGCTTTGTTTTAAACCACGTATTAGAAGTGAAATCCACTGGGGATAGGAAGTAGAGGAGTAAATTCACTCCAATTCCAGCTTCTATTTGTGAGGATAATGTTTTCTCGATGCAGTTTAATGTGCTTTTATAAGAGTGAAAGGGATTAAAAGGTGAGAGTCTTTCCCCTGTCCTGGAACACGGTACTGTGTAGTCAAAGGGGCGCTCACCAAGACTGCTGTGTCCAGCTGATGCTCAGGTCCCACCCTAGGGAGGGAGGGAGTGCTATAGCCACAGATTTCAATGTGAGGGCTCCCCCCTGGGGATGTGCAGGGTATAATCTGCACAGCTACAGAGGAGGCCTTGGTCCTTCCCTGCAGAGAATAATTTTCACGGGTGGATTATTTCAGCCCACTCTGAGGTGGCCATTCAGCACACATGGTATGAGAGATGTTCCTGCATGGCACATGACCCTAAGGGTATGTATCATTTCTTGAAAATGACCTTCCTGTCTAGGTCACTTGCCTAAACAGTCATTCAGTTTCTATTGGCATTTTTATTATGTTTTCCACGAAGGCAAGTTAATGGGTGGCAACTAGACTAGAGATGTTAGTGTATTCATTAAGGGTAGGTCCTACTCAATCTCTTACTTGAAGGTCTTCTAGGAAGAAGTGAAGGAATGGCTTTGATGTGTAATGTGGGAAGAGTGCAGCTCCAGGGAAATAAAAACATGTCCAAGAATATAAGATGTACAAGGATTTGAATTTCTCATTGCCTCATAGATTTGGAACACTGAGGAAAGCATGAGGCTTCCATCATCAGAAAAGCCCCAAGGTTATTAGATAAGAAGAACGCACTTACGTGGGAGGCTGAAGGGCAGAGAGAAAAGAAGAGGTAACAAGACAGGCACAGAGGGGGCTTCCCAGTAACCAGGAACACCATTCCAAAATTTCCCCAGCCCAGATGAGGGTCAGTGTTTCCCTCCTACCTCCTCCTCCAGGGTCTCGTGATTGCTGATGTCCCCGTCTTCAGCTGTTTCAATTTCTCCTTTCTACCTGCTACTTGCACACAGGATATAAATATGCTCTGGACTCTTCCATTCGAGCACAATTCCTCCCTTAGCTGTGCAGTCCTCTCTAGGTGCTGCCCTGTCTCCTTCCTTCCTGGTTAAGCCATGGACAGAAAACTTGACCTTTTCTGCCTCCACTTCCACATTTCCATTTATTCTTTAACTTACTTTTAAAATGTTTATTAAAGTCATTCATATACGGAGTTAAACTATCAGCCAGCACTAAAAGAAAATGGAAACAGCTGTTCCCTGATCTCACCCCTTTTCCCTCTGTTTGACTCCCTGGAGAAAATCATTCCTAACCCTTAGCTGTTTCTTGGTATTTGTCTACATATTTCTAAATAATATACTTGCTCCACTCTTTATTTATCAGTTTTAGATAATTATTTTTTGTCTTCTCATTATTTTTTAAAAGATTTATTTGAGAGAGAGAGCAATAGTGGGGGGTGTGGAAAGAGAGGGACAAGCGGACTCTGTGCTGAATGGGGAGTCTGACCTGGGGCTCTATCCATGGGGCCCAATCCCAGGACCATGAGATCATGACCTGAGCTGAAGGCAGTTGCTTAACGGAGTCACCCAGGTGCCCCTTCCCATTATTTTTTTGATGGTTAAGGATGTAGCAGTTTCATATGTCCCCTCTTTCCCTTTCCCCCACCCTCTCAGTATGATTACAACACAAATTTTTGATAAATCATCAGCCAGCATTTATATGTTTATATGTTTACAGTGTAAATTTAAATATTGTTCCCTGTTGGGGTGCCTGGCTGGCTCAGTCAGTGGAGCTCACAACTCTTGGTCTTGGGGTTGTGGGTTCGAGACCCACATTGTAAAAATATTTTAAAAAATAGTATTTCTTCTGAGCCAAATAGTATACCATGTTTGTGTTTCCTTCCTCATACTGCTTTGCACCCTTCAACAGAATAATTATTTAACTTTTCATCTGCTTGGTTTTCTATGTATCTATCTTTATTTTTTCCAAATGCTCCAATAGATCTCCCAACACCTATCCAAACACTTAAACCCAACAGTTTCATATTTTTACCTGGAGGCTTTCCTTGTTTAGCCCTCTGCTTCCCTACTCAGTCAAGACCGGTCATGCTCTAGGCTAGCTAAGGCTATTGTCCTATTGTTTTTTTGCCTAAGTTGAATCCTCTGTTTCCTTGATTTCTTCTACTTCTTTTGTTTATATGCCTGTCTGTCTATCTATCTATCTATTGAAGTTCATTTGACCCTTGAACAACATGGGAGTTGATGGCGCTGACCCCCAGTGCAGTATAGCTTTTGACTCCCTCAAAACTTAACTACTAATGGCCTAAAGTTGACTGGCAGCCTTACTAATTGCATAAACAGTCAATTAACATATATTTCATATATTACATGTATTGCATATTGTATTCTTAAAGTAAGTTAGAGACAAGAAAATATTAAGATAATCACAAGGCAGATAAAAGCACATTTATTGTACTGGATTGTATTTATTGGAAAAAAAAATCC